GTCATTCCAAATGCCAGCCCTCCCCCCTTTCCAAACCTCCCCTCCCCCCCGCTGGTGCCCGATGTTTTGCACTATTTTTGTGAACAGGTTTTATAAAAAAAGGAAGCGTTTTGTACAGTGGGTTTGTATTTGATTAATATATTGAGTTCCTCTTACTGCACTCATTGCCTCAATCTATGCAGTGGTTCGTGGTGTTCTCAGAGGGCGGCTTGGCCCGAGCTCTTCTTTTTATACGTAACCAAGTTTTTTAGAGTTAAGTTTCTGACAATCAGTTGATTACTCCACACACACCCCCACACCCCCCCCCGCTGTTTTATATAATTAGCGACTCATCTTGTGAGTGAGACTAGGTCTCAGGGGGGCAGAGGGGGAAGCTCTGCCCCAGGGAGCCTGCAGGCAGCCGGGTCACTGAGCACGGAGGGGGGGGGGGCACTGAGAGAACTGGAGCTACTGGGGAGGGAGGGGACCACAGTGCTGGGGACGGTGCCACCACCTGCCTGACCCGCTGAAGTGCCTTAACCCCGCTGGCCCCTGCCCGCAGGCTCCTCCTGGAGCAGCTCTGCCCCTCCGGGCACTCGCAGGCAGAGGGGAAGGGGGCGTTTACATATTCCCAGGGTGTACGGCTCAGGGGTGCCTGCTCTGCCTCTTGTGTAACCATTTTTTGTCTATTTTGGATATTTTCTAATAAAACCAGTTAGCAGCAGCTCTGTGTGTGTGTGTGTGTGTGCTGGAGCCCTGCAGCCCCTTTCCCCAAATCAGCGCCCAGGCATGGCCATAGCAGCACTTTATTAGAGACAGCGCGGCCCGAGGAGCAGCCCCAGCCTCACCGTTACTTCCACAGCTTCTTGATGGACATGTTCTTCTCGCTGTCCTTCTGCATCACCTGGGCAGGGAGGAGCAGACACTGGGTTCCCCCTAATTTGGGTGCTGATAACCCCCACAACCACCCCCAGGACCACTGCTTCCTGCCCAGGAAGGCAGCCCAGGCTCCCATCTCCGCCCTGCAGCCCCAGCAAAGGTCTCTCTCCATCCCCTCCCCTGCCTTGGCCGTGTCACCCATGTGGGGACAACCCCCCCTCGGCCCCAGAGCTGCCTGTCCCCTTCAAGCTTGGCAGCTCCCAGGACTGTTTGTGCCCCCCACGCCAAGGAGCTGGCAGTGGAGGAACCCACCAGCACCCTCCCCCCCCACCCCGGGTCCTTACCTTGGCAACAGCCATTTCAAAGTCTTCCTGCGTGACGTGCACCCTCCTCTCCCTCAGCGCGTACATGCCAGCTTCCGTGCACACCCCCTGCGTGGGACAGGGACGTCACCCACCGCTCCCCTCGCCGCCAGCCCCCGGTGCCACCGCAGCGCCCACGCCTCGCTCACCTTCACCTCCGCGCCCGACGCCCCCGGCATCAGCTCCGCGATCTTCCGCAGGTTGATGCCCCGCGTCAGGTTCATTTTCCGGGAGTGGATTTTGAGGATATCCAGGCGGGCCTGGAGGAGAGCGGCAGCAAAGCGAGGGTTGGAGCTGCGGGAATCGCCCCCAGCCAGGGCTGGGAACCACACGGTCCCCTCAGGGAGAGGATAAGGAGAGGCGGGACCCCCCACCTACCTCCTCGTTGGGAGGGGGGAACTCGATCTTCCTGTCGATGCGGCCAGGGCGCAGCAGAGCCGAGTCCAGGATGTCAATCCGGTTCGTGGCCATGATCACCTGCGCGGGGAGAACTGTCACCACACTGAGCAGCCCACTGTCGCCACGGGGCTGGCAGGACACGGCCCCGTCCCCAGGCAGTGATGGCACCCCCTCCTAACCTTGATGTTCTTGGTGGCCTCAAAGCCATCGAGCTGGTTGAGGAGCTCCAGCATCGTGCGCTGCACCTCGCTGTCCCCGCCAGAGCCCCCCTCCAGGCGGGAGGAGCCGATGGAGTCGATCTCATCCATGAAGATGATGGAGGGTGCGTGTTCCCGGGCCATCACAAACAGCTCCCGCACCATGCGGGCACCTGGGGGGGAGCAGAGAGGGCTGAGCCCCGGCCCCACACGCTGCTCGGCCCAGCCACAGCGGTTCCGCCTGCCCCGGACCCCTCCCGAGGGCTCCCGCCTCCCCCCCACACCCTCCTACCTTCGCCGATGAACTTCTGCACCAGCTCGGAGCCCGAGACGCGGATGAAGGTGCAGTCGGTGTGGTGGGCCACGGCCCTGGCCAGCAAGGTCTTGCCTGTGCCGGGGGGTCCATAGAGCAGCACGCCCTGCAACGGCCACGCGGACACCTCAGCACCCCGGCCGTGCCTGCGCAGCGACTGCACCCCAACGGAAGACACGGGGACCCTCCCAGGGGTGACAGAGGAAGCATCACAATGACACCACAGAACCCCCGAAACGCTGCCTCCCACCACAGACCCACAGCAGCAGCACTCGCCTTGGGCTGGGCGATCCCCAGCGCCTCAAAAAGCTCAGGGTGCTTGACCGGCAGCTCGATCACTTCCTTGATCTCCTTTATCTGCTTGTCCAAGCCCCCGATCATCTCATAAGTAGAATCTGGAACCTTCTCCACCATCATCAGGGAGACAAGAGGATCCACTTTGTTGGGCAGGATCTTGTGCAGCGTGTAGCTGTCGTTGCGCAGGGCCACGCGGCAGTTCGGGGTGACCTGCAGCGAGAGCAGAGGGGAGCTCTGCGTGCCCACGGCGGGGACGGGGCCCAGCAGCGCCGCCCAGGGAGAGAGCAGCCGCGACCCTCCCACGGCCCCAGCACACTCACGTCGTTAATGTCGATGTTTTTGTCCACGTCCACCACAAACTTCCCCTCCGGGTGCACCTGGAAGGAGGCAGTTGCCACCGTGAGAGTTAATTCTCTGAGAAGTCCCCTGTTGTGTGGCCGATACCGACACTGACTGCTCGGAGCGGGAGGAAGGAGCCAGAGAGCTCAGCCACCGCCAAACCCCCCTGCGGCCCCTCCTGCCCCCAGGAAGCCCTAAGCCAGCTGCCTCCCACCCGCCTGGGGAAGGTTTGGGCTCAGAAGGGCTGCTACAACGTGCTCCTCTGGAGAAAGAACTCTTATTTCACGGCTTTTAGTTGTTACATCCTCCCAGAGTTCATGCTCACACTTGCTCCAACCCCCATGGGGCCAAAGGGAGGGTCTGTCTGACCCCACCCCAGCCCCAGTCACCCTCAGGACAGCTCAGCCTCGTACCTTGACGAGCACTTTCTTCTTGTCCATGGCTCTCACCACTTCTCCCACATAGGAGCCCTGCTCCTGCAGCAGTTGCAGCTCCTCCCGCAGCAGGCGCACTGCAGAGAGGGAGATGTCAGCACCAGCCGCAGGCAGCCGTGCCCTGACCCTCTGCCCACGACAGATGGACGGCGCTTGCCACAGGGGCTGGCCACGGGGCCGGGAGCCACCCGCCCAGCAGGCAGGCCCAGCCCCAGAGCGAGGGAGACGAGAGGAGCTGAGCTGTACCTTTAGCGTTCAACTCATTCCTCTGCGCTTGCAGGCGCCGCAGGTTCTGGCTCTTCTCGTTCACGATGAGCTGTTGGGAGAAAAGCTTTGCTGAGTCCTCAGCATCCCCCGCAGCGCTCATCACACCGACCCAGCGTGGGCACCAGCAGAACGGTCTTTGTTTTGGGACAGGGACCCGGAGATGGACGGCCCTTGCCAGCTGGACACAGCCAGCCAAACCCCACTGCCAAGGGCTGGGCGACACACACACACACACACACACAGAGCAGCACTGAGAGGCTGAGACTCATGTCGTACACCCCCCACCACGCAAAGGTCGGGTGCTGCTTGCAAACACCACCCTGGGGCAGTGGTTCCTCCAAAACAGGCTGCCTGCAGTGCAGAAAAAGCTACGGGTGATCTCGAGGCAGGCGCAGGGCCGTGGCCATACAGCCCCAGCGATGCCATTCTGGGGCAGACTGGCTGGGTATCTCCTGCACAGCCCAGCCTGGCTCACCTGCAGCTCCTCGATCTTGGACAGGTAGTACTGCCGGAGCCCGGTGCCGCCTTTCCCATCATCCATCTCCATCTGCGAGAGAGCAAAGCTCAGCGGCGCTGCCTTTAGTCTCCAGGGCCACCCGTTCCACCGGGAGCCTCAAAAACCAGCTCTACCCCCAGTCAGTGATCGTGCGGCCCCTCCAGCCCCCATTTCCCGCTCCGCACCCCCCCGGTCAGGTCCTGACTCCCCGCTTTTCCCTCCCAGCCACCTCCTGCCTCCCCAGGCCGGTGCCCAACGGCAGCCCCCCACGCTCCCGTCCCCCTGCGTGTCTCACTGTCCCCGCTCACACCTCTCCTCCCTATCCCCCCCTCGGAGAGCCTCGTCCCACAACACCAGGTCACCGGCACCTGCCGCCAGCCCCTTGGGGGGGGATGAGGTGGGACTCGCCGAGTCACGGCGGCCGCCCAGGCCTCGACCAGACCCGGTGCCAGCAGAACCCCGCGGCGACACGGCGCGACCCGGGAGCGACCCGAGCACCCCCCGGCCGCCGCTCGCCTCGCCCCGGCCTCACCTGCTCGGGCCCGTCCACCGCCATCTTCTCCGCCGGCATCGGGGCCCCGGCGCCGCTCCTGCCGGCACTAAAGATGGCCGCCGCCCTCCTTCCGGCGGGCGCGCGCGTCACTTCCGCTCTCCTCCCGAGCCGCCGGCGCCCAGCGCATCCTCGCATGCGCACTGCGGGCAGGGGCTACGCATGCGTAATGGCCGCACTCTCGCGTCGCGGCCTTGCCGCCATCTCTGTACGGTCAAAAGCGATTTCTCCGCATCACAGCGTCCAAAAGGCACGAGGACAGGCTGTAAATAAGCCTCTGATGGAGTTCGTTGTCGTCTCCCCCTCCCTCCGCCCGCGGCAAGCCTGTCGGGTCGCGGCGGCAGCATGGACGCGCCACTCCCAAGATGGCGGCGAGGGGTCAGCGGAAGCGGAAGTGGGGCGGTGCGGCGCGGCTGGCGCGGGGTGTGCCGGGAGGGCGGTCTGGGCACGCGGCGGCGGGAGCGGGTGTGAGGGGACCCGGGGCTGAGGGGACCCTGCCCGGGGGGCGGTGGGGCCGGGGGCGGCACTGACGGGACGCCGAGGTTCCCCCGTAGGTCTGTGCCGGTGGGGGACAGCAGGGTCCGACTCCGCCGAGGGCTCCGCCCGGCGCCACCATGGGCAAGAAAAGCAAATTGGGCAAGAGCCGGAGAGACAAGTTCTACCACCTGGCCAAGGAGACGGGTGAGGGGCCGGACCGTCCACCCTGCGGGGCTGCAGCCCCGGCAACCCATCATCACCCCGGTAACCCATAACCTGCACCTCTCCCTCCCACAGGCTTCCGCTCCCGCTCCTCCTTCAAACTTCTCCAGCTCAATAGAAAGTTCCAATTCCTGCAGAAGTCTCGAGCACTGCTGGACCTGTGCGCGGCCCCCGGCGGGTGGTGAGTGGAGCGAGGGCCCTGAGTCACAGCCCAGTGCTGCCAGCTGCCTTGGGACGTTGTAACGAAGGGGCTTTGTGTGGTTTTCGTTGTCGTGTCTTTGTCCTAAATGCCAAAAGTCATCCCCAACCCTCGGCAGCACAGTTCAAGACTGGCTCCCTGGGATCCTGCTGGAGCTTCATTCCTCTCTTTTGTTTCTAGGCTGCAGGTGGCTTCCAAATTCATGCCGGTTTCCAGCTTGATCATTGGTGAGTGATGGGACCCAGCAGGAGTGGACTGGGGGCAGGGACCTCCACTGCAGTCCCTGGATGTGGCCAGAGAAAGGGGGATCCTGGATTGGGGATCCTGGTAGGAGGAGAGGGTGAGCGGGGAAGCCCAGCGGGACGGGCTGGAGCCCAGTTGTAAGGGGTTGCAGTGTTCATATCTCTTCCTTACGCCAGGGGTGGATTTGGTCCCCATCAAGCCCATTCCCAACGTGGTGACGCTGCAGGAGGACATCACCACGGAGAAGTGCCGCCAGGTATGAACCTGTGTCCCCTGCCCCGAGCGTCACGCACACCAGTCTGGGTCTGGGTGTGTGATGGGAGCGGGGTTCATCACCGATCAGGGGTGTTCCTGCGGAGGGGTTAGCGGGACAATCGCGTGTCGCCGTCCCTCAGGCCCTGCGCAAGGAGCTGCAGACGTGGAAGGTGGATGTGGTGCTAAACGATGGAGCGCCCAACGTGGGAGCCAGCTGGGTGCATGACGCCTACTCCCAAGGTGGGGGCTGGCACATCTCCTACCCCGGCAGCGGTGTGGGACAGGGAGCTGGGCGGTGGGGACAGCGATGATCGCTGACCGCTCTTCTCCCCTGCTCCAGCCAACCTGACCCTCATGGCCTTAAAACTGGCTTGCGAATTCCTCTGCAAGGGTGGCTGGTTCATCACCAAGGTTTTTCGTTCCCGGGACTACCAGCCTCTCCTCTGGATCTTCCAGCAGTTCTTCCACAAAGTCCAGGCCACCAAGCCCCAAGCCTCCCGCAATGAGTCTGCTGAGATCTTCGTGGTGTGCCAGGGTGAGCGGCCGGGGGGACCTGCAGCCGCTGGCACAGGGTTGGTAAAAACCTGCTGATAGCTCTGATTCTTCCATCCCAGGTTACCAGGCTCCGGACAAAATCGACAGCAAGTTCTTTGACCCAAAATATGCTTTTAAGGAGGTGGAGGTTCAGACGAAGTCTGTTAGCGAGCTGATCAGTAAAAAGAAGCCAAAGGTATGAGCAAAGCCAGATGCACACTAAAGGGGCTGGGGAGATTAAAAGTCTGAGGATGCGAAGTAGTGGAAGAGCCAGTTCTGGGGAGGTTTTCAGCCTTAGAAGGCAGTGCAGTGATGGAGAAATAGTGTTGCAAGTTGTGAGGCTGGGGATGGATCAGTAAAACCCTCCCCATAATGGCTGGCTGCTGGGTTTGTGTCTTTGTAAAGTGTCTTTAGGACACAGGACAGTAAAGGCCATGGCAAGTGGCCTCAGCTGGGCGCGGAGATGGCCCAAACCTGTCACTGTCACTTCTCTGAGGTGGGAGTGGGAGATCCCATGGAGCTGGCAGGTTGGGGCTGGTAACTTGCCCTCGTTCCTAAGTTGTGTAGGCACGTTTAGGTGGACACTGCAGCAAGACACGAGCTACGTGACATTCATCTTCTTGGGGTGGTTGAAGGTGCTTGTATGTGCCCTGCCACGGCTCATGCAGCCCTTCCCTCCTGCAGGCAGAAGGCTACGCAGATGGCGACACGACCCTCTACCACCGCTTCACCCTGATGGACTTCCTCAAGGCTCCCAACCCCGTGGACTTCCTCTCCAAGGCCAATGAGGTGAGTGCCTGAAGTGAGGGGGACTTTGGTGGCCCTCGAGACGTCCCCAGGAGCACAGAGTGATGAAAAGAGGGAGCCAGGTGCCCCAAGAATGTCCCCATTCCTGTTCCTGTGGAGGGGAGGCAGGGCAGGAACCTGCCTGGGGTTTAACCAGTCATTCTCCTTGTATTTTAAAAGTTGATTATTCTTACCAAAGAAAGGGGCTTAGCGTACATGCTTAAGTAATTTCCCTCTGCTCTATCCAGATCACACTGGGGGACAGTGAGCTGGAGAATCACAGTTCCACCACAGAGGAGCTGCGTCAGTGCTGCAAGGACATCCGTGTGCTGGGACGCAAAGAGCTCAGGTACTGGGGGCGACTGGGGCGGGGAGTTATGCTGGGCCTGGGAGGTGTCTCTAACGGTCTGCCTTCCTGCACAGAGCCCTGCTGAACTGGAGGACCAAGTTGCGGCGGTTTTTGGCCAAAAAGCTGAAAGAGCAGGCAAAGGAGCTGGATATCAAGTAGGAACAACAGGGTTGTGGCAGAACGCCAACACGGTGGGATGGGCCTGTCACCAGGAGAGGGGGTCTGAGCTCCTTCCTTTTGGCAGCCTGAGCTCCGGTGAAGAGGAGGAAGGCAAAGAGGAGGAGAAGAAGGAGAAGACGACGTTGCCAAGAGCCGCTGATGAGGTGGTGAAAGAGGAAGAGGAGGAGGTAGAGCTGGCGTTGGCAGAGATGAAGGTCAAGGAACTGGCAGAGTTAAAGAGGTAAAAATATTTCACGTGAGGAGAGGTGGGGGAACACTGGGTCAGCAGAGCACCACAGGGCTACAGCCACGGGGAGAGGGGGGGTATGTCAGAGCCTGTGTCTCTGTTGACAGTGGGTGGGGTTTGTGGGTCTGGGGTCCTCGGGGTCGTCTCCCCCTCCAGGCAGGTGAAACAGCCCTTCCCAGGGTTGGGGACCCCTCACAGGGGATGACAGTGCTACTGAAGGAGATCTGGCACCAGTGTGGCAGTGGATGAGCTACTGGGATATGTGGGAGGGCGGGGAGGGGGCCAGTGTAGCCTCACTCCTTTTCTTCCTTCTCCAGAAAGAAGAAGAAGATCCTGAAGGAACAGCGGAAGCAGCGTGAGCGTGTGGAGCTGAAGATGGACCTCCCTGGTGTCTCCATCGCTGATGATGGTGACACCAGCATGTTCTCCCTCAAGACTATCCACAGGACCCCGGTGTGTGGGGCAGGGGGAGGCCAGGCTCCCAGAGCCAGCGGGGCCGGGACTGTGGCAGGCACACAGCTGACAGACCGTAGCTTGTGACTTGTCTTATTTGCGTTGCAGTTGCTAAACGAGGTGACCCGGGGGGACATGGCATCGGCAGATGCCCTCCTGGAGATAGGACAGGGGGATGATGACATTTATGTCTCGGATCATGAAGAAGAGGACGACGTATCCCTGGCCAGCGATCTGGATCCGGAGGAGTTGGTTGAGATAGAGGCCCGTCAGCGCCGGCTGGAGCGGGAAAGGCGAGAGCAGGGGGCAAAGAGGTGAGAGCTGGGAGAGGATCCTGGGGCAGAGGATTCCTCTCGAGCAGCTCAGGCATCCGGCAGTGGGCACACCCTGTCCTGGCCGGGGGGCACTGATCCTGCTGCTGTTTGTCACAGGGCGAAGTTTAAGCAGAAGGAAGAGGAGGAGGTAGGGGAGGAAGAGGAGAATCCCCTGCTGGTGCCCTTGGAGGAGAAATCTGTGCTGGAGGAACGGCAGACCAGCCTGTGGTTCGGGAAGGTGAGTCCTACTGGGCCAGAAATGACAGAGCAACCTCAGCCCCAGCACCCCCCGGGTCTGCCCTGGGTCCCCTGACCCGCTGCTCCCCACCCCCAGGACGCTTTTGCCGGCATTGAGGATGATGCGGACGAGGACCTGGAGCTGGGGCAGTCGCAGATGTTGGCTGAGAGACAGCGCGAGTCTCAGAGAGGTTAGTGGGGGGGCTGCCTCGCTGCGGGGGGCACAGAGGGGCAGCCCCACAGCCCAGGCTGGGGCACTGGATCAAGCCATGGTGGGGATGCAGCTCTGAGTGGGACTGGAGATCTCCAGAGGTTGTTTCCAGCCCGTACCGTTACTCAGTTAATGAGCTGGCACTAGTGTATTGTTAATGAGCTGGGTCTCTAGAGGAATGATCTGCAGTGGAGTCTGCCTCAACCCTTTCTCACCCAGTGATTCCCGTTCCCCAGAGAAAGCAACAAGGAAAGGGCAGAAGAAGAGCGGGCCGCAGGAGGGAGCTCCAGCTGAGCCCCCGCCCGCCGCAGATGCAGGACCCACGGCAGGTAAAGCACAGGATGAGCAGAGCAACGACGATGACGACAGCAGCAGCGACGAGGAGAGGTGAGGGCTGAGAGGGGGTCGGTCTGGATATTCTCCCCCAGCCCCACAGTCCCAGAGAACCGGGAGGTGAGAACCCCAGCCCTGACCACTCCACTCCACAGGCCGCTGACACCGGTGGGGAGGAAGCGGGGCCGTGTTGAGCCGGGTGGCTTCGAGGTGGTGCCCATTGAGAACCCAGGTGAGCCGGGGGTGCTGTCTGCACCCATGTGCACCCAGTGAGACCCTCTTTAGGGGCAGGGTCGGACAGAGCTTATTTGGGCTGGCAGGGCTGCTTGCTGCTCCCTGGCTCCCCGCCTGCCTGCAGGTAGGCCAAGCTTTAATCTGTCCATACGCTGCAGTGAAAAGAGCTCGCGTCCTGGACGCAGAGGGCCTGGCGCTCGGCTCCGTCATCGCCACCTCCAAAAAGGCTCGTCGGGACCTGATCGATGACTCCTTCAACAGGTACGTGCAGCCGTGGTTGCTGTAGGGGGGGGGGCAGCGTTTGGTCCCCCACCAGGAGCCAGGCCAGGGGGGTGGCACATGTATTGGTGTGGGATGTCCGTGTCCCACTCACAGCTCACCTGAGTCCCCCCCCCCGCAGGTATTCCTTCAACGAGGATGAGGGAGAGCTGCCCGAGTGGTTCACAGAGGAGGAGAAGCAGCACCGGCGCAAGCAGATGCCCGTGGACCGCCAGACGGTTGAGGCGTATCGGCAGCGCTGGCGTGAAATCAACGCCCGCCCCATCAAGAAGGTGGCGGAGGCCAAGGCCCGCAAGAAGCGGCGGGTGAGTGGGGCTGTGGACCTGAGCGGCGCTGTGCTCCCCGTCCCGGGCGCTGTGCTCCCCCCCTCCCGGGCGCTGTGCTCCCCCCTCCCGGGCGCTGTGCTCCCCCCCTCCCGGGCGCTGTGCTCCCCCCTCCCGGGCGCTGTGCTCCCCCCCTCCCGGGCGCTGTGCTCCCCGTCCCGGGCGCTGTGCTCCCCCCCTCCCGGGCGCTGTGCTCCCCCCCTCCCGGGCGCTGTGCTCCCCCGTCCCGGGCGCTCTGCTCCCCCGTCCCGGGCGCTGTGCTCCCCCGTCCCGGGCGCTCTGCTCCCCCGTCCCGGGCGCTCTGCTCCCCCGTCCCGGGCGCTCTGCTCCCCCGTCCCGGGCGCTGTGCTCCCCGTCGCGGGCGCTGTGCTCCCCCCTCCCGGGCGCTGTGCTCCCCCCTCCCGGGCGCTGTGCTCCCCCCCTCCCGGGCGCTGTGCTCCCCCCTCCCGGGCGCTGTGCTCCCCTCCTCCCGGGCGCTGTGCTCCCCCCCCCTCGGGCGCTGTGCTCCCCCCTCCCGGGCGCTGTGCTCCCCCCTCCCGGGCGCTGTGCTCCCCCCTCCCGGGCGCTGTGCTCCCCCCCTCCCGGGCGCTGTGCTCCCCCCCTCCCGGGCGCTGTGCTCCCCCCCTCCCGGGCGCTGTGCTCCCCCCCTCCCGGGCGCTCTGTCCCTCACCCTCGCTGTTCCCACAGATGCTGAAGAAGATGGAGCAGATGAAGAAGAAAGCAGAAGCCGTGGTGAGCACGGTGGATATCTCGGAGCGGGAGAAGGTGGCCCAGCTGCGGCGGTGAGTGGCAAAGCTGAGATGCAGATCCTTGGTGTGGTGCTGGGCTGGTTTGTGACGCCTTGTCCCTGCGGGGACAGTGCTTGTGCATAACCCAGCAGGGCTGACAAAGGCTGGGCTGGATCCGGGTGTAGGCTGAGGGGTGGCAGAGCAAGCAAGGGAGCCTTGTCTTGGGGCGCAAAGGCCCAGTGGAGTGGTGGGACCTGATAATTGGTCTTTGGATACGTCCCAAAGCCAAACTGCTGGAGCTGGGTCGGGGTCTCGGTTTCACCTTCTGCCATTGTCCTGCAGCATCTACAAGAAGGCTGGGCTGGCCAAGGAGAAGCGGCAGGTCACCTACCTGGTGGCTAAGAAAGGCGTAGGACCCCGGGTGCGCCGTCCTCCTGGCGTCAAGGGCCAGTTCAAGGTCGTCGACAGCCGCCTGAAGAAGGACGTGAGGGCTCAGAAGCGCAAAGAACAGAAGAAAAAACGCCATAAGTGATGTGGGGCTGCCTCCGTCCTCGGCGAGGGACTCGGCTTGGTGCACGGGCAGGGCTGGCTCCTGTCCTCCCACGGGGGCCTTGGGAGCAGCCGGCTCACCCTGCCGCTCCCCAGTGTGGGGACAGGACTGTGACTCAGCCGTGCCTTGATGGGACGTTGCCTCCTGTCCTCCCTTATTTGGCCTCAGTGCTGTAGCATCGACCCCCCACCCGTGCTCGCTGCGTGGCCGCATCTCCAGCTTTCTCACCGTTGCTGGCTCTGCTGGGAGATGTGCAGAGAGGACACGAGCACCCACGCGAGCCCTCGCTGTCCCCAGAGGGACTGTGACTCAGGGGAACAGCTCCCTGGGCCGTATATGTCACCGAGGCTGCAGGACAGTGAGTTCCAGGCCCTGAGGCAGGCGGCTGTCAGTGGTCTGCACCGAGCAGCTCCTCGATTACAGCGGAATTAAACCCTGTTCTGAGGCTGCAGCAGGATGTGTCCTGTGTCTTGGCGAGTTGAGGGGCCTGCGCTGCCAGCTGCCCTGTCCCCTCCCTCGTGCACCGTTTGGCAGGCAGAGAGGGCGGGCGGGTTTGGGGGTTCTGTGCATCTGCTCCTGCCTCCTTTTATCGCTGGCAAAGCAGCAGCGCAGCGATGGACTCGCCCAGCCTGACCTCCACCCTCCCTGCCCCAGCCCACCCCTTCCACAGCAGCCACCCGTGCCCAACGCCCCTCCATCCTACCCCCCCAGATGTGGGACCCTGCAAGTTTAGGAAAAGAAGGACTAAGAGAAAAGATGCACTTGAGCAAATTATATTTATTTAGACCTGGGGCAGGGACTGGGAGGACTGCGGCTTCTCTCCATCAACAAGCACCTCAATCTTTTGAAGGGACTTGTGAGGTGTCCCCAGGTCCCTCTTGGTGACGTTGCCAGGGTGGGGGCTGGGGGAGCACCGTGACTCCCAGGGAGAGCAAGAGGACGGGGTGTGGTGGTGGTGGGGAGTTGCTGGGGCAGGGACAGTGGGTCTGACAGGAGGGGAGAGGCCAGACCTGGTGCCCCAGAGCTCCCTGGGGATGACACATTGGGGTGGCCCTGGAAAGCCACCACTTGGCTGCGTGATTAAAGTCAAGTACCCACGGCAGGGGCTGGCAGAGCAGGAAAACAGCTCTGCCTGCGGGTCTGTCACCCCTCGGCTGTGGCTCCACTGCAGGGAGAAGGGGCTGAGTCCAGAGCGAGCCCGGCTGGGCGCCAGCGGGACTGGGAGCGTCTCTGAGCCACCTTCGGCCCCGGGAGGGTCGGGGCTGTGGCCAGCGTGGGAGCAGAGGCCATCAGCCATCCTCGTCTGTCGTGGCTGAGGGAGTTGGGGCGAGCAGAGGGGACCAGCTGCCAGGCTTCAGGCTGTGCTAGAAGTTTTCCTGCTCCTGACTGTCAGGCTCTTCAAAATGAAACACCAGGGGTGCTGTGATTAGGAGAACCCTGTCCGTCCCCACCCCCAGCCACCCTTGGCTGCCCCTGTCCAGCTGAGCTCCATCCCTTGGAGCTCAGTGTCTCGGCCCCTCTGTGACCCCAAACCCACGGAGGGGAGCGCTGCAGGGGGCACGGGAGGAAGGCCAGGTCTCACGGGGGGTCCGAGCCCCCTCAGAGGCACAGCTCCTCTTTGCACCCCACAACCTGGGCGCCTGGGTCCCCCCTTGGCCTCTAGCTCCCCAAGCTCTGGCCAGCAAGTCCCCATCGATCCATCTGGGGCTCCAGGCTCCTGACTGGGCTCTTCCATCCCCTCTCTCTGCCCTCCGTCCCCTGGGTCCAGCCCAGATTGGCCCTTCAGGATCAGTGGGTGCCCATCGAGGTCCCAGTGTTGGGGTGACCCCCTCTGCCCCCTACCTGAGCTGCAAGGTGCACTGTAAGCAGCATCCGTGCGGTCACCTGCAACAGGAAGGACAGTGACCCATGGGCTCGGGGCGAGCTGCTCCCGTTAACGAGCCAAAGCTCATCAATATGAGCTGAAAGCTCAGCCAGACCCTCTCCGAGCCGCTGGGGTGGCAGCAGGGCCAGGCACCCCGGGGGCCGCATCCCTGGCGAGGCTCACCCGTCTCGTAGTAGTCGTACAGCGTCACGGTGGCTGGCTGGAGGTTCCTCACTGGGAAGTCCTGCGTGGCGGTGAAGGCGAAGGTCTCCTCTTCCCTCGTCAGCTGTGGAGGTGGCCCCAGGGTGAGGTGCAACCACCCGCCATGGGGAAGGATCCCCGCGCCCCCGCACACGGGGTCCTGCTCCTGTCCCCGTGTCCCATCTCACCTGGTCCAGGTAAATCGTCACCTGGTCAGGCTGCACCTCCACCTTCTTCACCAGCTTCTGTCTCTTCAGCTGGAGGGACAGGGCTCGGGATGGGCAACGGCGGCTCGGGGGGTGCCCCCAGCCAGGGCCAGCACCCCAGGTGGGTGCCCCAGCAGGGCCGAGGGGGTGCTGGGGGCAGCGGGGGCTTCTCACCTGCACCACGGAGCTCTTGTCCGGGATGTAGCCAGATGGCAGCTTAGCCTCGATGACAACCATGTTGGTGGTGGGACGTTCCCCAGTGTACCTACAAGGACAGAGCCCCGGGGTGGGGTTGGGATCTGCCCTCCCTCCTCGGCTGCTCGCAGGCCCCCCCCCAAACCCAGGGGACAGCCCCAGCCCCTACCGTGCCCGGAGGAGGAGGCGGAAGCGGGTGCTGGCATCCCCCGTGCACTCCCCGGGCTCTGTCTCCACGCGGAGGTCGAACGTCCCCACGCTCGGAGGGGGTGGCACGTTATAGCGCAGGGTCACCTGGGGGGGACGCAGGAGGGTTAGAGCCACCCAGGGGCCACCGCACGGGGATGGGGACGGGGCCCCCTGGCTGTACCCACCTGCACCAGGGCGCAGCCCTGCCCGCGGGCTCGCACCCCGTACGTCCCCGGCAGCTCGCGCAGAGCCGCCCGCTGCAGCACCAGCCGGTTGCTGTTGTGCAGCGCAAAGTCCTGCGCGGTGCCCGTTGGGGACGTCACCGTCACCACGAAGTCCCCGTTGCTGCCGTACGTCAGGGCGGCATACTTGGCCAGGGCTTGCAGGGCCACCACGGTGTCCTGGGCATGGGAGAAAATGCGGAGCCAGGGTCACCCTGAACTGCAGATACGGGGAGGGGATGCTTTGCTTTGGAGCGGCCCCATGGCCCCTGGTGCCAGTACCTGCGTGGAGGCGAAGCCCCCATAGGGGTTTTGCTGCTTGCTGAGCCAGCGGACGATTTGGGAAGCAGTCCCCAGGTCGGCAGAGGACACTTGGGGCTGGGAGAGGTAGGCCAGGAGGACGTAGGCGGTCATCTCCACCTCCGCCGGTGCAGCAGCAGCCCAGGAGGGCTGCGAGGAGGGTAGAGCCTTCCTCTTCCTCTGCCAGTAGAGCTGTCCCTCTGGGAGAAAAAAGGGGTGGGAGCTCAGCACCCTGCTCCGGGGGTCCCCGGGGGCTGGGGGTGAGGCAGGTAGAGGGTGGCACGGCCCTGAGGTGCCGCTGCTCGTGCCGGGTGGTACCTGCCCGGGTGCTGCTCTGGGCCAGGCTCTGCAGCTGGGCTTGCTGCTGCTCCCTGCGCCCCGCCAGCCCGAAGACGTAGGCGAGCAGCGCCTGCGTGTAGGGGTCATCCGTGGCCGAAGCCTCCAGGCACTGCAGGGCTGAGCTCACCATCGGGTCCTGCCATGGAACAGGAGTCAGGAACCAGCCCCCGGGCACGGGCATCGCTCAGAGACCCCACTTCTGCCCAAGGAGACCAGTTGCACCCAGGTCTGGCTGGGAGGTGGCCCGGAACAGGCAGACTCCCTGCCCCAACGCCCCTCCCCACCCCACCAGCCCCTCCGGGGAAGATGGGGTCATCCTCACCACTGGGGACAGCCCCAGCTCCAGCATCGCAGCTGTGACATACGCCGACAGCGAGAGCTTGTCCGAGACGCCGCCCTGCAAAGGGGACAGCGAGAGACAGGTCCGGCCGTGCCGTGCCACCGGCACAGGGACTCCCCCACTGCCTAGCCCACACGCTGTGGATATGCTGGGGCCAACCTGGCTCTGCAGCGTGCCCCCGTGTCCCACCCCAGCCCACCGACCCACCTGCAGGGCGTTGTTGAAGAGCTTTCCCACACTGCGGAAGCAGCCCGTCTTCTGCTGCTGCTCCCGCAGCCAGCGCAGCGCGTCCGTGAGGTGCCGCTCCTCGATGGCCACGTAAGCTCTGGCTTGCCCAAAGGACTTGAGGACAAACGCTGTCAGCCTACGAGCCAGAGGGACGTCAGAGGGATCGGAGACCCGAGCTGGGCTTTGCTTGGTGACAGGAGGAGCCCTGGCACGGCCGGTCCCCGGAGAGATGCCACTGCACAGCCTGCCCAGTCCCTCACCAGGTATTGCCCGTGGGATCGCTCTTCCCGAAGGCGCTATAAGAGCCATCATCGTGTTTGTAGAGCAGCTCTCGCTGGTAGCCTGCGGGGAGGAGATGGAGAGGAGTCTTTACATCATGTTTTTTACACCCCTGGGGGGACCCCAGAGGCAGCCTGCGGCCCAGACCCACCCTGGGGTGTAGGTAGAAAATGGGGAGGGGGGGATACAGGGCAGTGGTGTCCCTGGGCAGCAGGGCAGGGTGGGACGGGGAGGGGACCGGGGACACTGACCGCTCTGCAGGAAGCCCTGTGCCTTGGCGCGGATGTCGGGGTGCAGCTGCCCGCTCTTCTCCAGGTACTGCTGGATGTAGATGTTGGGGGCGAAGCGGACCATGTTCTGCTCCCCACAGCCGTAGGGCATGGCCAGGAGGCGGTCCAGGTTCTGCAGAGCGTTGCCCATGATGTCACCTATCCCAGGGGGAAATGAGGAGCAACCGTCATCGGCTGTGCCCCCCGTATGCCCTCCCATCTCAGCTCCGGGTGGTCCCACCTCCTGCTGAGCTTGGGCCGTGGAGCTCCGCACCCCTCCCTGCCCCAGGTGGTCCCCTGTCCCCAGCCTGTCCTTTACCCATCACGGTGACATGGGCTCGCTGGGAGCCCTCCAGGATGTTGGCAGGAACTTCCAACGAGATTTCTTCAGTGACTGTGGAGATGGAGGGCAATGACAGTGGGGATGCCCAGCTCCTCCCAGCCCGACCCCACAGCACCCTTGCCCACCCGCTTCCTGCTCCGGTCCTCCACGGGCTCAAGGCCAGGTTGCAGCATCTCAGTGGGGAGCCTCTAGGGACCCTGGTCCTTGACCTGGTGGCCCTTGCGACCGGTGGCCAAGCATCCCTTCCCCATGTCCCCGCGGCACTGCCAGACACCCCCAGCCAGTCCTACCTTCCTGGCAGAGCAGGGAGTTGTGCGCCTTCTCCACCAGGATCCCCCCGGGCTGTAGGGAAGCAGCATCAGAGTTGATCAGGAGAAGGGACCAGCCATGTCCCTCTGTCCCACAGAAGTCCTGTCTGCAGCCCAAGCTCGGAGCTGGGTGCTGTCCCGCTCCTGGTCCTCCTGCTGCACCCCAAGG